TGAAGCTGTCCCAGTCTGTTTTACTCATTTTCAGTCTCTTTTTTATTGGTATCTGTATGGGGCTTGTTGACAGTGTTAGTATAATTGGCAGATGTTCACTGCCTGTGAGAGGTTCTTGTTTTATATGGTAATTGAAAAAGGCTTTGTTGTTGGTAAGAATTTTGTCTGGTGTCGATTGTGTATTGTGATTTCTCCAGGTTGGAAAGTTAGGACCTAGATGATTGATTTTCCCTAGGTTTATTAATTGATTAAGGGCATTTCCCACGACGTTATTATTTGTATTGTCAAAAATCCTGTGTCTGGCGTTAAAGTCTCCTAAGATGTACATCGGATGACTATTGTTAGCCAATTTTAATAGGTCTTCTATAGGTAAGTAGTAGCAATAATTACGTCTCCTTGAGTTGTATTTATTTTTATTGCTAGAAATTCATCCTGGAAGTCATCAATTAGTTTAAATTTTAAGTTTCTTTTAACCGCTATCGCTACTCCGTCATTTTTCTCGCCCGATTTATTTCTTTGTTTTACATAATAGTTAAAGAGTTTTATGTTGTTGTTTTCTGTCTCACCGTGACTGTTTATTAGTATAATGTCAGGGTCAATTTCGCGATATATATTACTTAGGTTAATTCTCTCGGTCTTCCAGTTTCTTACGTTGTGTTGTATTATTCTTAAAGTTCTTACTGTTTGTCTATTGTCCATTATTTCTTATACTTGGATTGTGGCAGTCAGTTGGAGTGGAGACCTATCATCCTGTTTCCCTCTTCTGACTCTTCTATACTCTGACGGGTCTACTATTTTAAAGTCTTTGGCCGTAATCTTTAGTTTGTCCGTAGTAATTAGTGACCAGACATAATCTTCACTTAGGGATTTTTCTTGATATGTCCACTTGTATATCCCTCCTTCACAGTTTTTTACTATTGTCCCTCCTGTTGGTCTCGATGTTGGGATTCCATGTTTTGTTGTAGTGATAACTTTTAATCCAATTTCTTCAGCAGATTCAGGTTGTATATTGTGATCAGTTTCCATCTTATCTTCTCTCCTCCTACTCCTTTGTCTGTCCTTTTGTTATTTCTATCTTCTCTTTTTCACTTCTAGTCATTTGTCTGGGATCTCTATCAGTCGCTTGTGTTCCTTGTGTATCTGCTATTTGCTCAAACCTTTGTTCTCGTCTTGATGTAAGTCTTTCTCTCAGTTCGCTTGCATATGTTGTCACAAGAAATAGTTTTCAGTTGGCAGATTCTCCTGGAAATATCCATCTCTGGTAGGACATTCAATTTAAACATTTTCATAATTCCTCATTGTAGTCCGGGTGCAATGATATTGTGCAAATGTGCATGGATCCCATACTAATCATTACCTTATCATGTATTTGGCTCATGGGTTTAATACTGGATTCTGGTCTATGAGCCTCTTGGACCGCTCTCTTTATATTTCGGCGTATGTCATATCCTTTACCATCATTCCTTTTTCCTTGTTTCTTGTACTTTATCATGTGTTTTTTTATTGGGCATGCCATTGCTAACGTCCTATGTCCTATGTATACATTCCCGTTTCTCTTACAGTTGAGACAGCCAACATGTGTATTCTTACATTCAGTGTAGGTATGGTCGTCGCCTGCACAATCTGAGCAGTACTTTTTTTCTTTTTCCGGACGGTCTCTCGTTGTGTGTTCTTCATATTTGTAGCAGGAGAAGCAAGTTTGCAGACTGATGAATGTCTCCTTCTTTATTTGATGTGGTGTGACTGACATGTTGAATATTAGAAAGCCCTGTTGTAAAACTTTCTCAGCCATTGACACTTCTTCAAACATGAGTATAGTCCTTTATCTTAATGACTTCTTCAATCTTCATCCACCTATTTTGGCGTTCCAGTTCTTCTTTCAGGTCTTCCTCCCGATCTCTTGATCGACTTGACGAACAAAAACTGATCTTTTTGCTTTTTGTTCTGGTGGCATGACAACAATAAGGCCTTCATTGTAAAATATATCTCTTGCTTCTTTTGAGAGGATTTTATCTGAATCAAAGTCATCTTTACAGATTACTTTAAAACCTTCATTGGTGCTGAATATTCTAGTTAGTGGGACTTGCAGTTTGTTGTAAGTGATTTCTGCCACTTTTCCCCTTCCAATAGAGTGTCCCTTATCTCTATGTTTTATTCTAATGCTAGTTGTCATCTTCTTGATTACATCTAATCCTACCTATAACACAGGGCTCCTGCCTGGGAGCAGTGACCCCGCCCCCCCCTCTTGGACGGGGGTCGGGCTCGTAGGGTTCTGCACCCAGGTTACCTGTGACTATAGTTATGTCTAAGAAAGTTGCCACCTACCAGTGACCCCCGGACAAGGGGTGCCTTGCACTATCACTGGTTCCCTTGCCGGATCGACCGTATCGCTAAGTCCGCCTCCCGTTCAAAGAACGGAGTGCATGAGGGGGATGAAAAAAGGAAAGAAGAGGACTTAGAGAGTAGAAACAGCCTACCTACCACGCCACGTTCGGTCAGC